AGACACGCTTATTGGGTACGCTTGTATGACTAAATTGTTATGTTCACCGTTGTTTGTGTATCATTGAACAGGAATTTAGTATGTGAATTTCTGTATTGATGGTGAATCTTTGCATGTTGATGTTCTGGTAGGGCCTATGTCCACCCAATTTTTTTCTCGTGTGTCAGTTATTGAGTTCAGTTAATCTCGTCTCGTCTCGTCTCATCTCATCTTATCACGTCTCATCTCATTTCATCTTATCATATCTCATTTAATCTTTTCTGATCTCATTTCACCTCACCTCGCCTCGCCTCACCTCACCTCGCCTCGCCTCACCTCACCTCACCTCACCTCACCTCACCTCACCTCACCTCACCTCACCTCGCCTCACCTCACCACACCTTACCTCACCTCACCTCATCTCATCTCATGTTATCTTATCTTATCTTATCACTTCGCCTTATTTCTCATCTCACCTCACCTTACCTTACCTCACCTCACCTCACCTCATCTAATCTCATCCCATCTTATCGTATCGTATCTTGTCTTATTTTATCTCATCTCTTCTCATCTCATCTTATCCTATCTTACACCAGGACTACGCCAGTGTCAAGAGACCCTCCAACGACCGCCTTGCCCCCTCAAATCTCAACAACAACAGTAATTACAGCAACTACGGTAGTTCTGACAGACTTAACAACAACAACAACAACAACAGTAGTAGCAGTAGCAACAACCAATCTTCCCGCAGCCAGTCAACGCTGGTCAACAGTTACTCGTCTTCCACCGGCTACTCTACAGTGGTCAGTCAAGACACGTTACGTGAATCCTACCCAGACACGCAGTCGGCACCAAACACCAGCCGGACCTCTTCTCCTTCAAAACCCAAGCGAAGTCTCCCCCACGTCCCCACATCGGAAACTTCGGAGCGGATCAAACGCTTCACGGAGATGATGAAGTCCAGAATCACCGGGCAAGGTGGTAGCACAGGAAGCGCTGGCAGCAACAGTAGCAGCGGAAGCAACGGGCCTCAGGGCGGGGGTTTCACACCACCGATACGCATGTCTTCTGTAGACAGCGGCGCGTCCGACCGGAGCGTGGTGTCCCGAAAATCCTCGGCCGAGACGCCGTCCGACTACGAGGTCTCCCACATCAACAACAACGGCGGCAAACCCCGGAGGCACGAGAGGGGGCCCAAACACTCTGACCACTCGGACAGCGGCGGGACCAAGCATCAGCTTCAGTCGCAGATGCACAAAATCCCGGAGACGGTTGTGAGTAATGACGTATTCTACCCGCAGAACTCGAAAGAAGTTGAGCCTTTCAGCCACGGGAACGGGTTCGGACCCGCTCATGTTTCTAGTCCTAAAGTTGTGAACGGCGGAGCTGATAAGAGGAGATTTTCCGATAACGGGCCAGGGTTTCATGAATCGACGCGGGGGAATCTTTCTTCGAACTTTAGTAATGGACCGTACGCCAAAACACACCCCTATGGATACAGTATCCAAGGAGATACTCATGACGCGTACGTCCCAGCCCAGGCGTCTCACGTTACCTCCGAGGAGACGCCCCTCCCGCCAGGAGACAGAAGCACGGACTCCGGTCAGACTACGGGCACCAACCACAGCTACAACGGCAGCGCCCTCGACTCGGGCTACACCACCAACAACGACGGGGAAAATGACTCGTTCAATACTCAGAATCTTCATCCTCATCATCATCCTCAACAACAACAACTACAACAGCAGCAGCAGCATCAACTGCAGCTACATCCAAATCACTACCAACAGCAGCATCAGCAACAACAACAGCAACATCAGTTGAACCGTTGCCCCCCACCTCTCTCTCTACAACAGCCTCCTTACTCTTATTCAGACGGACGACAGGGGCAAGATGCTGGCCGGCAGAGGCTCCACCAGCAGCAGCAACAGCAACAGCAAGACTTGCCCCCACCACCACAACACCTACACCAACGAGATCACACACAGCAGCAACAACAACGACAACAACGCGAGCAACAACAGCAACAACAGCAACAACATCAACAACCAGGAGACAGCCGCCAAACGAACAACCTGTCCAAATGGCCTAACAGCGTCAACCTAGACCACCAGCGACCACCGCCGAGACATCAGTCCAACCTGGCAAACTCCCACCGCTTTGGCAGCGTACAAAATGTCAGTTCTGCGCAGGCGCACGGGAACCCACGAGACGGTAATTTGTTCCGGCACAACCCTTACCTTCAGGACGACCGGTTCCCCAACTCTAAACCTGCACCTGTCGACCACCATCGCCCTGACGTCGGCCCGTACTCGGCTCGGGAATACCCGAACAAATACAACAACAACAGCGCCGACCACGGTAGTGGGGTTCCCCCTGTGTCTATTAAAAGTGAACTTCTCCCCGTGACGCGGCAGTTGAGCCAATCAAATGACGTGAATAAATATAGATCGACCAATCGGCGTAGCTGGGATTACTCTGACGTAGGCCCTGACAATTCTCTTGTGATTGAAAATGGAATGAGAAGAAATAACAAGTTCGAGCACAGATATCGATCGACTGAAGTCATGCCGTCATACCAATATTCAAAAGATGTTTCTAATTTTGGTGCAGTTCACACATCAAACCAGTTTTATCCTCGTCACGAGCACGAAGATCGTTACCCAAACTCAAACAACCAGCATGTCGCAAACGGTAATTTGAGCTCAAACTCCAACTTCAGAAGTGTGGCAGCCGACCAGCGACCCCAGCACGCTTCTTCTAGCACGTCCCAATCGTACAACGCCAATCTCGACAGAGGGGATTCGGCGGGGAATGGCGTCGCTTTCTTCCAGTTCCCCAACAACACCCCTCAGAGATCGGACAGAACTACAGCACTGACGAATCTCCCCGCCAATCAACAGTCTACCTCACTGAAGCCCATCGCTCGCGGAAGTGAAGATCAAAGTCCGCATTCCTCCAATGACCAGTGGAACGCGGACATGTACAGAAAGCAGCAATCAAGCCAAACCCCTCCATCAGCCTCCTCGTCGACAGAGGGCGTGCGTCAGCGCCCAGTCCCTCTGTCCAGGAGCAACAGGCAGGCTCGCGGTCGCACACTTCCGGGAGGCTTTCGTCTGAACGAATCAGATTCTTCTTCCGGTCACGTTACGAACCCTAATTTGGAAATATCTCTGTTCCACATGACCCAGAAATACGACCTGTGCCCTCTCTTGCTGAACCTCCCGAAGCATGTGTCTCTGAGAGAACTCGTAAATCTGAAGGAGGTCTCCCTGGAGATCTCCCTGTCGGGCGTCCCTGGGTATCCCGGCAGTCCTCAAGGTCAGACGCCAAAGATAGGAAGTCCAGGTTCCGCCTTCACCCCTGTAGGCAGTCTGCCA